TGCCCAATAAACTCGTAAGTTAATTGCCGTTTACAGCACTTGTTGCATAATATACTATTTTGTGTGGCCCAGTTTATCTTTTAAGACAATACTAAACGAATAATGAACAAAATTTTAAAAAAGGTGCCACTTAACCTGCATTCCTTTATCAAATTGTAAGAGTAGATCTCACCCCATGAGGATGGAATGGTACGAAAATTTCAAGATAGTCAAAATGTGTCAGCTTGAGAGAAAATAGACGTGTTATGTTATTTCATAATTATAATTATTCATAATTCATAATTAGCTATTCCATTCCTTTTAGTCGCCTACCAAAATTATAGTCCATACTTTAGGCTATTTAAAAGTATTAAGCTGTTTTTAATTAAGTTTTTTCTTATATTTTGTCACAAAAGTTCTTTAATAAGGTTTGTACCATAATTGTATATGATCCTGCAGAATATCAGCTAATATTACTCAAAATAACACTCTTTTTTCTGCTTCTACTTGTCTAAAATACCTAATCGTCACGAAAGTGTCATTCCAAGACATGAGGTTCATTGTCATGTTCAATGTAGCAAGTAACTTAGGGCGCTTCCGGAACATGGGTCATGAGCTATGTTTTCAATAGATTTTATTGATGGCATTTTGATGGTTTTCAATTCTGACGGTCGGGTCACACATCACCCGTATTTGGGTAGAAGTTGCATTGTGGTGGTTTTGGAACTAAAAAATAATTTAATTTTCTTGCTTGCTAGAATTGCAATAAGAACCATTAGTGTTCCTTGGGCTGCTAGTAATCATAAGGAATATCTCTCCACTAAAACTATTTTCAATCTTTTTTTAAATTTTGAAGTATTTTCCAATGACTTTATTTTCAACTGTAATTTATTTTGAAAAATCATTATTATGAGCGGTGGTTTATGTAAACACCGAAATGGATGGAAATATAACTGAAGGGACAACATTTCTTTTCTATTATATTTTAGTGTGAGATGGCCGTTGGCCACAAGAAATTTTTACGTTGCGGCATTGCAGGCATTCGCGTCTGCATATGAGAGCATTTGGAAAGCAATTAAAACTTTGGATACGAAATGAGAGGGAAGTTGCCACCGGACGGCGGTTCACATATTTACTAAACGGAAACTTTTTAACAGGCGAACGAAGTTGTTCGAACATGGCCGCAAAAAAGGGCATAGTTTTTCGTTTATTTTAATTTCATTTGGAACTGTTATACACAAGGCACATATAAAATGTTGCTTATTTAAACAGGTTGAAGCACTCCTTTAAAATTAATCAGCAAACATTGTTTTCTGGAATAGATTTCCGTAATTTGCTTTTTATTTTCCTTGTCCAGAAAGACGAACAATAGTTTGGGACTTTAATGAAAAAAACCCTCGAAATTTGAGCCAAATTGGTTTCTATTTAAAATGTAACTTCACATTCAAAATATTTTGAATACTTTATTTCTAATAGTTTAATAGTGTCTAACAAATTTAGTTAGCAATTTCGCTAGGTATTCATAATATTAACATTGAGTAAAGTTGCATATTGCAACTATGTTGTTGTTCTGCGAAGAAAAGCAGTAGGTACTTGCACAGTTTCCACTTTCTGTGTGATCGATCTATTTTTATGATTGCTTAACTATTGATTTCATTAGACTCTAGTCATGATTTCAGTTGGTAAAGATGCTGTCTTGTTTGATGTGTTGGCTAACAATGAAAATGAATGGTATGTTAATTTTCGCTTTGAAAAGAGGTTAGTCGAAGCAGTCAGAATATAAAGCTACCATAAGAGGACCGTTGATATTAAACCTTTCTTCAGTAGGTCGAAGCCAGATCTCTCCATATAATACCACGATCTATCTTAAATACGAGAAGTTTAGATAAGTTCCCAGGAATTTGGAGAACTTACAACGGCTACATTTCGAAAGATAAAAGTGGTATTATTTTGTATGAAACAAAGTAATAACATTTGAACTTCCCACAGTTTTTGCGATATCTAATGTTTTCAGTCGAAAATGACTATCCTAAACAAACTACCATCTCAAACAGCTAATGAAATTCGATTTGAAAACGCAAAAATTATTAAAAAATCAAAACCCCCTAAATCTAATAAATCTAAATCTAATTGCCCTAAAATCTAATCTCGACATCGTAATACTAAAAGCAGATAAGAAAATGCTACGGCGATTCAAGATTGAAGATATTCTTACAGACGGATCATATCGTCAACTTCAAAAAGATCCTACGTCATTTATGGAACGCGACCTTAAATCTGTCATTAAGGCTTCATCTCTATCAGACTCCGTGAAAATATGTCACCTCTTATGACTCTAAAATTCCTCGTCTCTGCAGACTCCCACCGATTCACAAATCAGGATTTCCCCTTCGACCAATTGTCAGCACCAAATTATTAAAACCCTGAGAGTTTTGTACTTAATTTTTTTCATTTCATTGAACAAATAAAAATCATTACATTAAATAAACAAGATATTCTGGTTAGTTTCGACGTAGAATCCCTCTTCACTAAAGTTCCTATTATTCCTATATTAAAATCTGAGAATCCGGAATCAAACCTTCTCATCTTAATTAAGAAATGCTTGTCTGGAACATATTTTTCTTAAAAACGGACAAATTTTTGAACAAACGTCAGGAACAGCTGTGGGTTCTCCATTCTCACCAGTCATCACGAATATATTTAGCGAAGCCTTTGAGAAGAAAGCTCTCGACACCTTCCATGAAAAACCAAAATTATGGAAACGCTACGTCGATGATACTTTTGTTATTTGACCTCATGGTCAGAAATTGCTAGTAGATTTTCTTAGACATTTAAACTCTGTACACCCTAACATACCTTTAATATTGCAATAGAAACTAATAACAATCTTCCTTTCTTAGATGTTCTTATCAATAGGAAATCAGACCTAACATTGGGTCATTGTGTTTACAGAAAACCTACGCAAATAGACCGATACCTTAATGCATTGCATCTTCACCATTCGGTCCAAAAATCATCGGTTATCAACTCTCTTGTTTACAGAGTCGTAAAACTATCTCAGTCCGAGTCATTGAACCCATAATTAAAGCATCTTGCCTCTGCCTTTTTCTCTAATAATTTCCACATTAAAGATAATAAGCGTTCCACTACAAAATACACTTCACCACAACCTTCTAACAGCAATTAAACCGAAAGCAATGCCATCACTAACCACATATCAAAATTTCTAAAGAAATATAACTTCAAAACCAGATTTACCATTTGTCCAAAAATATCTCAACATCTTCGATCCGTCAAAGACAAAATTCCATTTGAGGTGCGGACAAAAAATATCAGCTAGACTCAAAGAACATAAAAGAGCCTTACGACTAAGACAAATAAACTCATCAGCAGTTGACGAACATAATCACGAAACCGGACATAAAATTTTATTCGGTAAAACTAAAATTCTTGCATGGAATCAATTCTTCTACCAACGAAAAATCCGAGAGTCTAGAGAAATCTATAAAAAATCTTAACCGCGACTCAGGTTTCTACCTGCCACCAATATGTGAATCAGTCATCCGAGACCTCACCTCAAAAAATATAAAAGCAGGTACAGAGAAAACTGCGAGCGAGTTTCAGTCAAGCTCTGAAGAAGCCAATAGGATGATTGACGAAACGTTAGCTAGTTCGAATCAACAAAAACCGACGCAGGAGGAATCCAGAAGTTTTATAAAAAGCATTAAGTTCCTTTGAAAAAAAAAAAAACTGGAAGAAACGCCTCTAATTTGGAGCAGAATAAGTTTAAAAATTCAGCTCAAAAATAAACATTTAGCTTTTATAAATAAGTCTGAATTTAGAATCGCTACTTGAAACCTTTAAAAAAAATTGTATACCCACTTTGTTGTTTCACCCGGTATGTATGAGTCAACCAAAGGATAAAATGATCGAAGGTTACACATAATTCCTACGACAAGCGGTTAGTTAAATTGGCACCTGAGGGTATACCGTTGTAAAGCAGAGGTAGATCAAGAGCCAGTGGCCCCTGGTTATTTGAATTGAGTTCCGTGCGTCTGAATATACATTAAACCAAATATTTGGAATAAATGTTCGTTATTCTTATTTAAATCATCGATCTTATATAATAATAGAGTCTCCACCATAAACAATTTAATTCTATTTATTTGAATGCGGGTGGCATAGATGTATTAAAAAACAAACTGAACATTTTTTTTCTGTATTCTTTATAAGCTGAGTTATGAACGTGAAATGGCCACTCGACCTATTCAAAATCAATATGGCAAACTTGGGCATGCAAAAGGTTGTGCATGTCTAGCTACGAGTACACGCAAAATTACAACCACAAAGCTTTAATTTTTTCCGTTTTCATTATTGAATAATGTTGCGGTTGCGGCTTCTTCTATTTCGAATGGCATATCGTTTACATATTGTATTTTAATCACACTTATCAGTGTTAAAATATTTATACCTGCAACTTTGTAACAACTTCTGGGATTACAAGTTTTGGAGACAAAAAAGAACGCCTTTTACTATCTAAAAGCTTTAAAAAAATGTTTTCGCATAGACGCGTTTCTTCATCCGGATTATTTAAAATAACTTATGATACATTCTTCTGAATTTACGTAGGTCATTTTTTTCCTTCACTTTTTAGCCTTAACAATTTCGGAATAAAGACCTTTATGTTGAACCCAGGGACGTATTTTAAATATCTACTGATGCAAGGCAAATTTGTAATAAAAATTTTGTGCTCGCTAAAATACGAATTATAAAAAAATTAGTTCAAGTGGGTGCTTAAAAATTAAAGTACTCTCGCCTATGCTCTTGAAAGAAGATGCCGACTATATTCGGAGTTTGTAATTTTAATCCTATTCCCAATTGCCTTCGTATAGACCTCACCAAAAGGAAGCACAACTAAGACGGGGGTTGGCAACAGTGTGGTGAGAATGCGCTTAAACTTTCCCTATATATACGCAACAAAGTTCATGTTGGGATTCAGTTCCGCGTCGCGACCCTATCTGGAAGGGTGGAGTGTATTTCAAGCCTTCCGAACAGTACGTAGAATTTTGGCGGTAAACCACGACATTTTAATTTAATGACTTTTTTACATTTATCGTCATTTATTAATAGCAATAGTCAGTTTGCAATAACATTGTTATTTTTCGACCAGTAAGCCGCCAGTAAAAAATTGTATTAAAATGTAACTCCATTCAATTTGTCATTCGTTTTGTGACTATCCAAAAGGCTTGTCAGTGACTTTAACAGAATGAATATGTGGTGGTTGTCCTGTTTTGGATTACTTCTACCCGTCGTGGCTAGAAGAGACGATTACGAGAAGACAGGTATATATAAAACAATGCAATCTTCACCGTTTAGTTCAGCAGTTTCTGCTGAATTTTAGTTTTTTATGCTTACGCTCTTTCTCAAATGACTCATTCAATTGCTAACAGCAAAGGCTAATTGGAAACAGCAAATATTTAATTAAGTTAACAAATACAAATAAAACTGTATTGTAAATAACGGCGAAGTTAAAATCCGAATTACAGCTCGGGGAAATCTTATAAAATGTTTAACCTCTGCGATAAAAATACTGTAATTGATTGCCTTAGTATTAAATTTTTAAGTCTGCTTTACTCTATCCCTCCCTCATATTTGAAAAACAAAATTGATGATTTCTCGGGACGTTGTATTTTCATTTACAAGAGGGCTATGTTAATTTGCGCTCAGCATTTTGCTTTAGGTTATAATGGATTTTTCGACAATATAAAACACAAATGAGTGAAAATTATTGTTAAATTATGAAATTGAAATTATAACTACATTATTGGAAACATTGTAAAAAATACAGAGCTCATACCTCGTTATTTTGAAGACAATTGCCAATCGTGATATTAAGCAAACAATGTCCAAATAAAATATCACTCGTTAAGAGATACAGAGCTTTTAAATTCAGTTTTCGAAATAACGACAGGAACATATACATATACATATATATAGCATTGAAGATGCCAAGTGAGATTTTGGCGAACATAGTGTCATCATACATATATATATACAGTGTGTCCAAGATAAGGATGCACAGCATGGGGATCTCGGAAACTATAAGAGATACAGTGTCGGTTAAATTAGACAAAAGTTGCGCATTTTGATACCGAACAAGATCCCGTTTTACAAATTTGAAAATTCCAAGCCGTTCCGGAAATATCCGAGAAAAACCGAAATATTGCGATTTCGTTTTTATTATTTTTTAAAGCTATTTGAAAAGATATGAAAAAACGGAAAACACTTTTCCATTGGCACTTTTTAATCTCTCCAAATTGACGTTAACAAATTTTCATTACAGCGTTTCGATTCCATGGAACCACCATCAACTTTGATTTTTCTTATGGGACGGAAAAAAAGTACACACAGTATTAGGTTGTGCTTTTCATTGCGAATTCAACGATGTACGATACAATACGGTGACTTATGTTTTTATCCAGAAAAATGGCTTTTTAATACATTTCTAGTATTTTATTGTAGTAGGCCATGAGATCCGAACGATGAAAGGCAAAAGAAAATGGTTGACAAGTTCGAGTTAATGTGTTTATTTATTTACTAACTCTAACTGTTCATTTAACATAACAACTAAAGCCAACAAGTTAATGAAAAACAAATTCTATAACAAATGTTCGAATAAATGACCTCCATTTTCTAGGCATAAGTACGCCCGTCTCACGGTAGACTCCAAAACACGACTTAACATTTCAGGAGTAATTTTATTAAACGCTGCTCGTACTGATTGACGTAATTGTTCCTCGTTGTCAAAACATTCTTTGAATACCTCATTTTTTATGTAGCCCCATAAGAAAAAGTCCAAGGGAGTTAAGTCCGGGGACCTTGGAGGCCAAGGTGTTTCACTGTAAGTCCCAATGTATTTTCCATCAAACCGTTCAGTTAAATATTGGCGAACTTCTCTGGAGTTATGGGCTGGGGCACCATCTTGTTGGAACCAGCAGCCTTGCACAGCGCCTAGCGGTAAATCATCTAAGGCATCTTCTAAATCGTGCCTCAAGATGTCAAGGTACCGCTCGGAAATTAAGGAATTATTATAGAAAATAGGGCCTATAATCTTGCTACCAAAAATCCCACACCAAATATTAAACCCAAAGCGAACTTGATGTCTGGATAGTCTATTAACACGTGGATTTTGTTGCGACCAATAGTGTGTATTGCGCCTGTTATAAATACCGTTATTGGTCACCATACTTTCATCAGACCAAATCACTTTATATGGAAAATTAAAACTCTCATCACACATCCTGGTATACCACTCACAAAAATGTCTACGTCGTTCGTCGTCACCCGGTTTTAATCCTTGACATATTCTGAATTTGTAAGGCTTAAATTCATTTTTCCTTAAAATAAACTGAGCTGTAGATTTAGCTACCCCATTCTGGTCTTCAATTTCTCTGGTAGAAGTTTGTGGATTTTCGATAACAGATTGTAGAACAATGTATTGGTTTTCTTCATTGGAAGGTTTTTGTCGGGATAATGCAGGCTTCTTAAATGATCCATATTCTTTCAGATTAAATAACAAACGCCGAAAAATACTCTTGTCAGGTTGTCTCCGCTCTGGGCATTTGTTAGAATACATACGCTCGACTTCCACACAATTTCTTTGGCATCAGATGTAGCAAGACAGCATATCACATTTTTCTTCGTTTGTAAAATTACCTCCCTCCATTGTAGAACAAAATAAATTAGAAAAAGACAACAACAATAAAAATACAAAAACAATAACTAAAGGAATAAACTTATGATCGACTGATAACAAAGACAAATAACATTAATGTGTCATTGAAATTGACTGGATGTCATTTTGTCATGGCCTACTCCATTTAAATGCTGAAATGTATTAAAAATCCATTTTTCTGGATAAAAACATAAGTAACCGTATTGTATCGTACATCGTTGAATTCGCAATGAAAAGCACAACCTAATACTGTGTGTACTATTTTTCCGTCCCATAAGAAAAATCAAAGTTGATGGTGGTTCCATGGAATCGAAACGCTGTAATGAAAATTTGTTAACGTCAATTTGGAGAGATTAAAAAGTGCCAATGGAAAAGTGTTTTCCGTTTTTTCATATCTTTTCAAATAGCTTTAAAAAATAATAAAAACGAAATCGCAATATTTCGGTTTTTCTCGGATATTTCCGGAACGGCTTGGAATTTTCAAATTTGTAAAACGGGATCTTGTTCGGTATCAAAATGCGCAACTTTTGTCTAATTTAACCGACACTGTATCTCTTATAGTTTCCGAGATCCCCATGCTGTGCATCCTTATCTTGGACACACTGTATATATATATATATATATATATATATATATATATATATATATATATATATATATATATATATATATATATATATATATATATATATATATATATATATATATATATATATATATATTATATATATTCACGTATTGATTCACGGATGGAAAAATGTGATGACACTATATTCCGGGATATCATCCGTTCGCTCGTTGAACTCCGACTGGAATCCTGCATCCGACTGGAATCCTGCAAATCCTGCATCCGACTGGAATCCTGCAGACGTTTCGCCAAAATCTCACTGGCATCTTCAATGCTCGCGCTCCGAAAACACTTCGAACACACATATATATATATATATATATATATATATATATATATATATATATATATATATATATATATATATATATATATATATATATATATATATATATATATATATATAAATATAAAGATAGATATATGGATAGATAATAATATAGGGAACGTTAGTTGCACCCTACAATCTCGCTGTTACAACTTTCTTGTTTGAATAATAAAGCTATTCTAATTTGAAAACTACCATCGATTAAACGAAACAATTTTGAGATATTTGCAAAAATGCAAATAATGTTCCTCATTTTATTATGGGTATAATCGTTATGGCTAGACATAATAGGTATTTCAAATAAATTATAATATAATAATTATTCTCCGTTATCAGTAAACCAATTATATATAAAATTGTTGCAGAATGATAGAACCTCCCAAAATAGGTCTAGGAGGATCAGAAAAAATTTAGAATAGGATAGGAAATATGAGATTCGAAAAAAAATTCACTCTTTCTATTTCAAAAAAGAAATAGCCACATTAGATCGGATTTTCGTGGATACTGGACAAGAGGACAGTATTCCCTTAATCAGTAGGAAGTTGCTATGCAGAACTCTTGGAAAGGCTACAGAAAATCTGATCAAAGAATCAAAATTATTGGGATCGTGATAAAAATAATAATCTTTACCATAATAATATTATATTACACCAGATGAAAAAGAATATCAAATTACTGTCTACTTATAAAGCCGCTTAATTTTCAAATTTGCTCAAATTTAGAATTTCGATTTCAAATTTTGAAGATTTCGTTGAGTGCTAGATGGTCTTTAAATAAAAAGGTCGTTACATCAAATTAATTAATTTAAACCTTTGGCTGGTCGTTTTCGTTGTTTCGCGGGGTAAAGTTTTTAAGGACGCCCATTTATCACGGCTCGGACGCAATAAAACTTCTATAACGCGAGACATTTCGGTAATCGATTTTTATTGGAATCGGTACCATTTAATTTTGCAGCAGATTTTAAGGCACATTTTTGCTTCTATTTCTGCGAAAAATATTGCAAATATTATTCACTATATGTTGCGTGCACTAATTTAAATCATACCATATCATATAATTTTAAACTTTAGAGTTAAATTTCTGTGCAATGAATATAAAATAAAAATAATTTCTCCATAAGCATATTTTTAACTGAATAAGTTATTGGTAATTACTATGGGCATGATAACATAGATCAATAAAACAAATGATGATAATTATTGAGATTTTAGTTTCAATATTTGAATCTGAAGAAAGTTATTTGAAAAAAATAATATGAGAGAACCAACATACCAAAAAATAACCACATAAAGTTTCCCGTTGTATTCAACTAGTTCTTAAATTTGTCAGGAAAAATAGGCAAGCTTCTAATTGGTTGCGTAATCTCGTATCGCGTTTCCCCTGGCTTGTATGCTCCAAATAAAGTCTATTGGTACAGAAAATTAAATCGGTTCCATACACCATTCAACAAAAAAACACGATTTTTAAAAAAAAAAAGTTGCAAAGCCCAACTCAAGCTTTTTTTTTCAATGGTGAAAGAATGTTTGAAATGTGAGGAACAAGTTGATTTAATAATTTTCCAATATTTATCTGCATTAATTTTACGTATTTGACAAGATGAGGGTAAAAAAGACTATAGATAAACGAGATTGGTCAGAGGACAAAGTTTTCCAGTTTTCCATTTTTAAGAGGAATACTAGTTTTCATAGGATTGAAACATATTATGTCATATAAGTTTATTTGATACATCTGCAACGAAGTTAGAGTACGAGACGTACTAGGTAGGAATTAAAAAAGTGTATTACATATTTCTTCGGTCCAAAATAAATGCCATAGGGCTGGTAGGCAATACCCAAATATTGCATTTACCTGCAGCCTGGTAGCGAAGTGTGATCATTAATCTACTATGATGGTGTTAAAAGCAGTTCTAATTGCATTTCAGAGATCGGAAAGAAATTTTTAAATTGTTGTGCACCCTCCAAGCGCAACCTATTTACTTATTTAGTGTTGAACAAGCTCCCAATTCATTTCGGCAATCTACCTGTTTCCTTAGCCACCACTCTTGTTTCACTTTCTGTTTTTGTAGTCTTATACGCAATTAGAAAAGCTAAGGGCTGATGCGAACTTATTTTGAAAAAATAGAATTAAAACACTTTCTGTATTGTCTAGTCTCCAAGCCATATCTCGGGACCGCTACCAATGTCAAATGGACAACACCCTGAGGCAAATAGATTTTATGTTAATTCAAGTCAACTTAAGAAGTTTTTCAGTTTTTCAGAATATTGCCCAGATGAAAAGTGATTTTTGCTTAAATTTAAATACCAAATTTGATGTGATTTAGCCTGTGGAGTGCATTGTGGAGAGCCACTTCAGACATTTCCGATAATTTAGGAGATCGATCGGATATTTTCTGTCGGTTTTAGCTACTGGCGGTATTGTGATATTTATCACTTGTGATGGTCATATCGCACGCCACTCAGTTGATGTATTTGGGCTGTGTTGCCCAAAAGTAATCCAATTACGAATGACCGTAGAAGAAACAACACGTTTATAACTTATATACTCAACTCGATGGCTAATGCGCCGTCTATAAAACTTATTATGTAATATACTATTATAAAACCACAAAATTTTATGGTAAATATGCTTAAACCGCGCAAATTTTCCCCTTCTTTGTGACGAATCGGCTTAGCGAAACTCCGCTCAGAATATCAGGATTATGATTAAGCTAATTATGAAGCAGAACTATAGCGGAACAACACTAAATATTGCGTAGGTGATTACCGGATTAAATTCCCGTGTTCACAACGCATAGGCCGAAACAGCTAATTTGGTTCTGACGCGACCTAATCCAGTGAAACCCAAGGCAGCCAAGTAAGGGCATTAACATTTAATATGGCATTAGCAGAGTTTAATATTACAATGATGAAGAATATTGGCGTGTCGAAATTACTCTAAATTAGTTTGGGCATCGTCCCAGTGTGTTGGTTGTTTACTGTATGTACAGAATGAGCAAATTTGGATGTTGCTATATGAGGTCTCGGTAACTACCCCGTCGTAAAATGGATGATGCATCCGTAATTGTTATTGGGTGTCTTTTGTTTTCAAGCTATTTCAAAACATTCTTTTTTGAGTATAACAGTTTTAACAACTTTTTTAATACCTTCTTGGTTTTTTTTATTATAACGTAAAATTGTATTTTTGGATATCATCTTTTTCATAGTTGCCTATAATAGTATATTATGCAACAAGTGCGGTAAACGGCATTTGACTCACGAATTTATTTGACACGAGTGGAGCGAGTGTTTAAGACAGTGGTCGCCAACTTCTTCAATGTGTTGAGCTACTTTGTTAATTTTGGAATAAACAGTGGAATTGTTTATGTTTAATATTATGACCATTAGATTCTTTTGTGGAATTTTGAAGCTTCTCTGATTTTTGCAGTTTGTATTTTAAAAAATTAAAATCGTTGTGAGAACTACCAGAATTGCCTCCGCGAGCAACCGGTAGCTCGCGATCGGCAGGTTGGCGACCGCTGGTTTAAGAAATGAGTGACTTAAAAAGTTTACTGAACGTGTTGCATACTATACTTTTTGTACGACCGTTAGTTTTTGGGTACATTTTTGCAAAACAACACGAATACATTCACTAACGTGACCGTCAGAATTGATAAACGTCAAAATTCAAGGCATGGGAAATATCTCCGAAAACATTCGATTGCTCCCAAACCCATGCGGTAAAATCCCGGAAATGTCCGAAGTGGTTCCGATCCGTGGGAAACGAAACTGATAATTAGATAGTGCTTTTTGTACAACGATACGTGTTTTAAAAAAATATGAAAAGCATTATTTTAAATTAAATTATGGCATTTCTTTATTGTATTAGCTATTCGAATATTAATTTAAAAAAATCTACGAAAACGCCAGTCTAAATCAGTTAGCTATTGGATCTAATTGTCTGTCAGTAATTTTTGAGCTCATTAACTTCCCTTTTACATCCAAAACGTTTTAACTTAAAAATGGCAAAGTTCTCAGGGAAAAGCGCATGAATGTTACCCTTACTCGTCTAAAAAATTTCAGTAACGCACAATTTTTTTCTACAAAAATATAAACCATAAAATTTCACATAGATCAAATAAACAATATTCTTTTTCTGAAAATGTTACCAGAATGTACGAGGTTAGCGCCAAAATTTTCCGGCCTGACATAGATGCAGCTGCAGTATCACGATAAAACTTTGTCTTCTTTTAAATGTATATCTTAGTAGGCTGCGAAACAAAAATTGAAGTCTTGAGTCAAATAGTTTTTTATTGACAGCATTTTAAACAAGACGTTTCCGCAAATACCGCAGTATAGAGCAGTTATAAAGTTTTTGACAAAGGCACCTAAAATTATTAAAGAAAGGCTGGATGGTTTATTCTGTAGTGAAAGAATGAAGTTGATTCAAGAACTGGTGGACCAGTGGAGGTCATAACGGAAGATATTGTTGCGATTGTGGAAGAGTGATCGACGTTTAAAGGTCAAGGAAATCTCAGAAATTACTAAGCTTTCTGATACAAGTGTTCGTCGAATCCTGGATGATCATTTAGGTATGCATAAGGTTAGTGCAAGATGGATTCCTAAAAACCTTTCGGCTATGCAAAAACAGCGCCGTGTCTAGTGTGCGCGGTCTTTTTTGGAACTCTGTGGGTCGGAACCGAAGCCTGTGATAGAAACTATTGTGACGGGAAATGAAACTATGGTTCTCTATTGTGACCCTCTATCGAAAAAAAAATCACTGGAGTGGCGTTGTAAGGGTGAAGCACCTCCAAGAAAATTCAGAGTCTGTCAGTCAACAAAAAAGGTGATGGCCACGATCTTTTGGGATTGTGAAGGATTTTTTTTGATAGAGTTTAAAGAAACTAATACCACTGTCAATGGTAAATATTACGCAACATTATTACATAAATTGCGAGTCTGCATATGTGTAAAACGTCGAGGAGAACTGACCAGACGCGTGCGTCTTTTGCACGATAATGCACCTGTCCATACTGCTGGTGTTGCACAAGCTGCCATTTTAGAGTGTGGGTTCCAACAAATAGATCATCCTCCCTATAGTCAGCGACTATTATTTGTTTAGATATTTGAAAAAGGACTTACGTGGACGGCTGTTTAACGACGAAGTTGAATTAAAAGAGACTGTTCTAGCTCATTTTGCAGACAAACCAAAAGAATATTTTTTTAAAGGGATTGAGTTGTTAATAAAGAGATGTAATAAGTGTATTGAAGTTAAGGCGGATTATATTGAAAAATAATAAAAAATTGTTACTCTACTTTGTTTCTTTCATATTCAGGCCGGCAAGTTTTGGCGCTGCCCTCGTATATCCCACAATTTAAGATGTTTGGGCTATATGTTAATATGACGGATTTTTTCTTAAAATGAACTGAAGAATTATCTCTTTACGTATTGATTAGAAGAAACACTGTTTTTATTATATACCTTTGCGTAATAAAATAAAACAAGTGGCCCATAGTCGAAGAAAACTGGTTTTTCAAAACTATACCGATTCAAAAATACTCACAAGTTAAGGTTTCAAAATTTATTATTTTCATAAAGTTACACGTGTTTCACCATCATCAGACACACAATGACGTCAACTTGAAAGCACGCAGACATAAACTATTAATTTTTAAGACATTCAATTACCTAATTGTGAAGGTTCTTGAATCTTTATGGTTTTGATTAATATGAATATCATTAGCTAACTTCAAGTTCACTTTTCAGGATATTTCTGGCACATCACGGACATCCACTACGATCCCCATTATAGCCCTAACGGCGACTACAGAAAGAGTAAGTGAAGGCGTCTAAACTTGAGATTTTACGACCGCGTTAGGAGTAAACTTTAAGTAGAGTTCGAACGCTGCAAGTTAAACAGCCCTGCGTCAGGATAACCGCATTGACGGAATTCCTTTTCTTGGTCGATTCATTATAGTAAAAATTGCCAAACAGTCGTGTGTTAAAACTTAACCGAAGTTAATGGCAAAAATAGCAATAAATAAGAAAAAATATTTATGCGGGTCTTCTTCAGAAGAGACATCATAATTTTTGTGGACCGTCACAATGACAGTTTCTTTAAGATATGGTGAAGAATAACAAAACAAACATGAAATGCTTGGAAAAAAAGTTACTAGAGTAAATGATAATCATATTACACATTTACAATAAGTGGCGATCTACTCGACGTGATATTTTTGCTGACACTGACGCAATAATATGTACTGCTTCTTTTAATTTTAGGTAGAGTATTGATTTCTGTTTAGAAAGATACTTAATATCATTATATTGTAGACGATTACAATCTTTTCATCTATACCATCTATATTCAAAATGTTATGGTTTTCCGAGATGATTTTCTCTTTTTAACAGGGAGCTTTACCTATATATATATATATATATATATATATATATATATATATATATATATATATATATATATATATATATATATATATATATATATATATATATATATATATATATATATATATTAAATCGTGACAAATCTGTTTCGTATGTCCTTAGGCCCTTTCTTTAGTTTCAGAAAAGATGATTTTTATAGGTATGATAATATCGTAGGAAGATGCAACGAAAACGGCAGGCTAGAAACGAATCTAAAATTATTCGTTTCTCTAATCACACTGTTTGACGCAATAATTCCCGAGTCGTATTAATGTCATAATTGAATTAAGGGGTGGTGACGTTCTGACACGATAGTTCACGACTTGAGCTAAGTCCATTGTTTTCAATATTAAGCTGTGAATATTCATAGGATTATTCCCGAGTTTACAGCCGTAATAAGAATATACGGCAGGATCGTTTTCAGGTTATCGATCGGATGTTACTTAATATTGAAATTACTGAAATAAACGATTGATCAAAATGCATTAATAATGGAGCGCCACATCTATCTAGCTTCAACAATGTAGGTTTAACAGTTTTTGAAATATTGAATATTTTCTGTGGGGCGTGAATGTTGGTATCTTTTTATTTACTAAATTATTTAACATGGATGGTTTCTTTCTGGAATTGAAATAAATTATGATCTATATGGTGTCTTATTTAAAATAACAAAATTTAACCGGGTCCTCTGGAACATCTGGTGTAAATTATTAATTTTTATTTGAAATTGGTTTTGGTAATGACTGTTTGTTTCGCTATTTAATATAATACATAATTTTTACCACAGGTTTTTTCTCTCTATACAGGGTTATTCACGGTGACTGTCCTATTAGACGTTTACGAAGAATGACTTACGGCAATAACGTGAAATGTGGGTTATGTATATAAGTGAATATAAGCAACTTACGTAAAATATTTTTGGCCATGCGGTGTTGCCAGATACACTCGTAACTTATGTCAACTTTCGTTTTCTAAATGGAAGACCCTGCATATTATTACATTTTTAGATTCCGCTAAACATTGTACCATACCTATCTTAAAGATTTTCAGAAATAAAAAATACGTTTTTTTTTTCGCAACTCGTACAGTTAAACAATTGGATTTTTTGGTTGCGGTTCCCTATTAAATTGTTTTATCATAATTTAGTACGAGAATGAACTTATCGCGTATAGAACTTTCATAAGATAAGGTAAATCAGCTATTGCCATCTAAAAGTATCAAACTATGGTATATCGTAGCAAAAATCAAAATATTACGCTAAGAGCGAATTAAAGCAATTACATTTCATCTGGATAGCAGGCTTTAGATGCGACATTTTTTCTAACCAAATTTGTCTTGTCAGAAATAAGCTTAATATTCCTTTATTAGCGTGTTTAAATGAGTAATTGTAACAGCGAAACTGGAAGGAATTACATATGCCAACAAATATTCATAGAAACTAGTATATGTAAAACTAAGTTTAAAAGTTAATAAATGGTTTTAAATTGTTTTTGATTACATTAAACATGTTTGAAATGACCTCCATTTGTTCTAAGACATCCATCGACTTCATAACATTGGAAACTGTCGCCCCCTAAATTTAATTTGGATCAAGTTGTCGAAAAGTCTGTCTGACACGGCATTCCAAGTGTTCTATTGTTCTAACTGGAGTTCTATACACTCTTTTTTTAATAGCGCTCCAAAGGTAGGCATCAACCGATGTGTGGCCAATTCCATGGTCCTAGACGACTTGTTCATCGGTTTTCAAACATGATGAGTTCTTGAATTATTCTATTTGTGCAATGAGCCGGAGCTCCTTCAAATTGGTACCAATATCTGCGATGTAATGATGTAACAAATTGTCTAAAAAATCTGTTGGTATTTGTTGGTATAATATCCAAATATTTTTACTGGTTCAAATTTTCATTGGAGATATAAAAAATTATTTTATTATCCATCATCAATCAAAACTCGTTGAATTCGCTTTTCTCGTACAAATTTTGGATTTTCTGAAGACCAAAAATGATTATTCCTTCTGTTAAAAATACGCTCTCTAAATGCAACTTTAAACTATTAAGATGGAATAAAATAAGAAATCCGAGTGCATCCGCACATGTCAGTTATTTTTTTACGTCTCCATGGCTGGCAAGAGCCTGCTACCCAGATGAAATATGATTGCTTTAATTCGCTTTAAATGTAATATTCCCGTTTTTTGCTTATAACTCGTGAAAATAGATATACCATAATTTGGTACTTATAATATGGTAATGGTACTTATAAATTAAATTAAATTAATATAAAATATGGGGTATTCCATTTAAAATTCACACGTAACATGGATATATAATTTCGTGAAAATCTGAACTTTTAGTTCTTATTTATTTAAAAAAAAAGTTATTTTATATCGGCTTGTTTGTTGCCAAATTTCTTAAAAAAGCGTTTTTTTTATCTCCGAAAATGTTTAAAATAGGTATAATACATGTTACAAAAAAAGTTCCACAATGTTTCGCGGAATCTAAACATGTAATAATAATCAATAAAACATGCCGCTAAGGCGCCAAATGAACAATTTATTTCACCGCTCGCTCGACTTTAAGTATTACATCTTAACAATGTGTTCCCCATTTTGTAGCTGGAAACTGGTTCGGAGGGTCCTATGTCTAAAAAAAAATGAGGCTTATTAAAGAAAAGCATGTAATGACGCTGCGACAATCACCTCAGAACAAACATATATTTAGTGTTCAGAGAGGCATTGAAATAGATAATACAATTACAATTAATTACATGATGGATATTAGTATAGTTTTTTAAAATTGTTTACGTTTGTTTTTTGTTCTGTGTGAGAATTGTTGACCCCACAGTCGTTCTAAATTTGGTATTATAGGTATTTAGGCAAAGAACGAGTGGTGGGATAAATAATTCCGGAGAGGAGCAACAAATCATTGGTGAGATTATAATATATAACATATATTAAAAATTTCATTACATAAAACAAGAAACAAAGTACACCATATTGCGGAATTTTTGCTATTAATCTCTTTGTCTATTTTCTTTATCTTTTCAGTTTCAAAAATAAGCAAAATCAAACATAGTATAAGGTCCCTATGAAATCGAGGTTAAACCTCCCCTGTATTAGCGCAAGCGTTGATTGGTCGTAACGCTGTGACATCAAAAAAACTAATTTTCATTTAATGGATAAAATTAATCAAAAATATGCAGAACATTTTGCTGGCGTACATTAATGTATCGGTATAAAACCGTGACAATGTCCAGCACTGGCAACATTTTCTCAGTCCGTCTAGATATTTGCAACACGTTGAAAAGAAAACAATGCTATCTCAGATTATTATATATTTACGGTTTATTCACATAAAAGTCCGACACATTGTTTAACACCAACTAATCCGCAATAACGGGAATCGCCATCCCGGTGTCATATCCCTAGACATTCCCCGTCACTAGTTGAAAATCCGAAACCAAACTAGATCCCAATCTGCCTCTCAAATCCTGATTAAGGTCCAGAAATTGGAAAGGAAAGATAATTGGGCGGATAACCGAGCATCGGCGATTCGACCTGGGAGGATTAATCCTGAGCCTTAAAAGGCTTTTGGTTCGTTTCAGTCGCAGGACCAGATTCTCGAATTAATATACGGCGTAAAATTGCAAATTCACGTTTTAGGGGTGGTAAAAAAGCAAACCTATCACGAGTACAAAGGAGTCTACATAAATAGCTTGTCAACAAATGGCTTTAAAAATAATAACATATCTGCAAAGCGTAAGTAAGCGGAAGTAAGAACATTAATTAATTAGGAACTCAAGGGAAATACGAATGATTTGTCCTGCCACCGCTTAAATCTGTTGTCGATCCTTTAATCGATGTTGATTTTTGCGGCTAGATTTCTAACCGTTGTTTCATATAATTTTTACGCATTGGAATGAAATGTGGACAAAATGGCAAAGATAATTTTTTTTAACGGTGAAAACTTCATTGGAAGTCATACCCAACATGTTGATATCATAAGAAAATGATTATCTTCTGTATTTTCAAAATCGTTCCTCAATTTTTGAATTTATCGGTCAAAATGTTGAACTTTTAAAATCCGAAAATTGACAATTTTTAATTTATAATAAATTCTTCCATTTCATAAGATCAAGCTTAATTATAAATGTAAACATTTCTCCATATATCTTAAGGCTTTGAAACGGACTCTCATTTTCACTTTTAATGATCGAAATCCAACTTTCGCACATATTCATATTGCCTTCATTGATATTTTCTTTCGCATGTTCCCTTTTTTACTAGGGAAAGAAATGTTTTTTTTTTAATTTTTGGGTCAGTTTCAAATAATATCAATTTTGAAGTAAAACTGTTAAGAACAAAAGCTTTAAAAAATACTGTTTATAATTGAGTT